TGTATGTGTGTTTGTTAGTGTTTGAGTTCAGAGATTATATAGAATTCAACATTTTAAATACCTAGCACTGTGCTGGACATAACACAAGCACTTCATAAAGCCGTGTGGAATGAACAAAAGGATACCAGAAATGTAGCCTTGTCTGGCAGAAGACAGTGGCATTTTCATTATTAACCATTGTGGAATTGATTATTCTGTTTCTCATTTGGCCACCTCGTCTCCCTTCCAAAGCCTGAAATTACCCCCATTATTAACAAATACATCTATGATAAACAATGATCTTTAACTCAAGCTGCATGTGGGAAGAGGAATGATTTTGAAAGGAGAACCTAATTTCAATCTTTGAGCCTCTTTGGTAACTTGTTCATGCTTCCACTTGAGTCTAACAGCAAAAAACTACTCCTGCTATCATGTATACTACTATTTATGAAGTGTTCACCTAGAGCCAGGGGATGTGCTCGGGGGCCTTACATGCATCACAGTATTTAGTCTGCACAACACATCTGGAAGTCAGGTCTTGTTACCTGCACTTTACCCTGGCTCAGAGACGCTGAGTCTCCTGTCCAGTGTCACACAGCCAGTCAGGCAGAGTTGGAAGAGGGATAATGACTGTTTTGAGTGCTCAATGGCCAGCCTTCCATCAACAGTAGCTATTATGATAATGCAGGAGTCCTTGGGGCACCTAGTACAATGAGTGCAAGCATCTTAGTATGAGTAAGCTTATGAAATCAATTCCCTCCCTCCCTCATAAAAAAGACAGGCAGCCTAACAGCTATCTCTGCTCGAGGGAAGAGGAAACTTAAAGAAGGGTTGGGGTGAAAATGTGGGAAGTGATCACATTGTTCCAAAATTAAAATTGTCCTTTTGAGAATGTACTCTTCAACATTCCGCTATGGGTGTGTGTGCCCGTGGGGAACAGGAAAAAGGCTAAGACACACTTTATGAATGCCACATTTTACCCATGGTGTGTCTTGATGTGCTATATAGGCTTGACTATTACTAAGAACAGAATGAAACATTCTTTCTTGCTCTGCCCTTAAGAGAAATCTGTTGCCGTATGTTCAACCTTTGGGCCAGTGTGGCATCCCTCAGTGTTTCAGCAGAGAGCTGCCAGAAGAGAATCATTACACCAGCAGTGTTATCTGCTGACACGAAGGACAGGAATACACTTACAGCCTAGACTTGGCTTCTTGCCTCTTGTTAAGGCACCCAACAACAAGGCTTACTGACAACGTCCCTGAGACACGCTCGCTTACTCCAGCACTATTCAAATCTCTATGTTATATTGCTTTGTTTCCTTCAAGCCTATTTTTTTTTAAATCTCGCTTTTCATTTGTTTATCTCCCAGACAGTAAGGAACAAGAAAGTGTACAGAGCAGAGGATGTTAACCAATCTTGAACCAAATCCCTGGTCTCTCAAAAAGGTGGAAGAGAGGCCCGGGCATTCTTAATTTCTTGAGGCTTCAAGTAGATTAAAAAGTAAGTATGCATAGCTCTAACTGGTTTGGCTTAGTGAATAGAGCATTGGCCTGCAGAAGGAAGGGTCTCAGATTCTATTCCAGTCAAGGGCACATGCCCAGGTTGCATGCAGGCTTGATCCCCAGTAGGGGGCATGTGGGAGGCAACTAATAAATGATTCTCTCTCATCATTGATGTTTCTATCTCTCCCTCTCCCTTCCTGTCTGAAATCAATTAAAAAAAATATATTTTTAAGAAGTAAGTATGCCTAAAGGGGGCTAACAAAATAATTATTTATTTTTTTCACAATTTACTCTAATAAATGAACATTTTAGCACAAAATAATATAAAGCAATACTGCTCAAAGAATAGGATATACAGTGTTTCTTAAAACATACCAGTTCAGGTGTGGTCCAACAATGGGTCACAAGGTTAAGGTTGTCTGGTGAATGTTTTCCTTTTTCAATCCTTAGAGTGTGTCTCTGAGTGTATGTGTAATCTAATTTCAAAGAGAAGATTCATTGTAGAAGTTTGCAGATTGCTAGGAATGGGTGGCTCCCTGGTTCTTCTCTTTACAGCTCCTTCCCAGACATGGAATACAAACCTTTATGCCTTTGTGTTCATTATCTAGATTTCATAAGATTCTCCAAGCAGTCCATTCTCTAAAAGTCTCAAAGCACAAACTAGTCTCAAACTAGTCTCAAAGCATAGCCTAATCTGTGAAACCCAGATCAATGATCAGAGCTCCTCATTTTCGAAATTCAGAATACTCTTTTTAATGTAAATTTTTTTAGCCTTGCAATTTAAATTAATGTGAAAAAGTCTTTCAAGTAACTTGCTGTTTTCTGTTTTTAAATGTGTAGCAATCTTGAGCTTATTATTGTTTTTAACTTGCCTCTTCTCTATTGCTGTTCTAGTATATGGAAGGTTAAAAACAAGATATTGATCAGAATGAATGGTCTAAACCCCACCCTGTTACTCCCAGGCTGTGTATTCCCGTGGGAATGTTTTCTCTCCGATCCTCAATTTCTCTAAAATGAGATGGTGATTTTCATTTCTCAAGTTCCTTTTAGCTTTAAAAAGTTATGGTTTTTCTCACTCCTATTCTCCACTTCCTCTCAAAATGTCCCCAGGATATTTTAATGTCCAGTTTCCAAATCTGTTGTCATGGTATACTGGCCTGCTCTGTTAGAGATAAAACATTTGTTTACTTTTAACTACAACCAAACCCAATACTTAATAGGCATGGACTCACACTTATTTTCCCCTTGTCCTGGTGGCAACTAAATGTTCATTTTGTCATTATGGTAAACAGTGTGTTTCCAATACTCAAGCCACTACAAAAACTTTAAAATAAAGAAAAAAAAATCTAACTTTTGGCTCCGTTAAATTGCCAGATACAGCTCTGCACTGATAGCTTAGGGACAGTAGATGGCGATATAAGTTCATCAAATAATAAACATTTCCTTGATTGATCCAGCATTAAGACCCAAATGATTGAGGCCAGAACAGATTAATGCAGTAGTTAAGAAACAACATCAAATATACTCAGGTGTTGGAGTGTTAGCTAAGACTTAGAATGTGTTTAGTAACCTGATAGTTATGGAAAGAAAAGATTGTTAAGCTAGTAATTAATTTATGCTACTGCTAAGTCTATCTTCAAGCTAAATCTTGAGGAAAATTTGGCAATAAACACATGGGTCCCATAAATTGTATCTAAATTATACTCTCCATTTTTGGTTTTTTAATAGCAATTGTTTGGGATGGAGTGTGGCTCACATATATTATTCATAGATGAAGTACTATATTCTTATTAAGAATGTGAGTCCTAAGACACTGGTGTTTTAAAGGGGAAATGGCAGACTTACTGTAAACTGTTGTCCGGGCCATTATTGACTGGCAGGATCAACTGGAAGCACTATGTTAGTGGATTATGTTGCCCTGGAAATGCCTTCCTGAAACTCTAATGATGCACTTAAGGGAGTCCTTTGGGACAGGAGTAAACTGTCTCTTAGTGGGCGTGTCTTCCATCAGGGACCTCCTGGGATGAGTGGGGCACACCCAAGGAAGCAGCCCAAGAGAAAGGTTGCAGGTTACAATTTCTCACAGGTAAGCTAAGATGATACTTACTGGTGTAAACTGTGGGCTTTCTGAGGGTGCCCGTGCTTCTGCTTCATGTATTTTTTCGAAAAGGGATTAATTCCAGAGAGACTGTAAATATTTATTTACCTATTTATTTATTGGTGGATTGGCAGAGGGATGGAACAAGAGGAGAAAAAACAGGAGGGTGTTTAAGAGAACATGGTTTAATGTACCTTTGGTTTAAAAACCACAAATACTTTATACCAGTAATTAGAACCTTGGGGTCATTAGGTGTGCTTTCTTTCTTTCTTTCTTTCTTTTTTTAAAGCAAGCTTTAAGGGAAAATCTGCCCTTCAGCTGAAATTCAGTGTCTGTGCAAAAGGTTTGTTTGTAGATTTGTCAAGTGAACATTTCACTTGCGTTTATCTCTCCACAGGTTTGGGGGGTTGTTTCTGGGGGATGGTGGTGGCAGTAGAGGTCAAAAGAGAAGAAAAGGCTAAGCGACGGCCCTGGAAACTCCAGACTTCCCGACTGGGCAGGGAGGGAAGTGGCCGCGCGGCGTCCCCGCCCCAAGCCCTGAGCGAGCGCCCTGGAGTCCCTTGCCCAGGGCAAGCGCACTGTGTCCCTGTGCCATCCCGGCGACCTGTCACCGAGGAGGACGTGACTCGCGGTGCCTCCGCTTTCTCCAAGCCATATTCCTTTAAGATGATGTAATAGTCATTTCCCTGGATGGTTTCTTGCCTGCACTGCTGAAACAACAGCAGCCCAACTGCACTGGGAACTGTGGAACCGCCCAGCTCCGCCGCCCGCCTGAGAAGCAGGAGCCCAGACCCGCTGGCTTCTCTGCGCTTTGAAGGTGCCGGATCCCACCGGCTCCTGCCGGCTTCGCCAGCTCAGCTCGCACCTGCTCCCCACGGCTCCCAAGGGCTCCCAAAGGCTCCCACCTAGCTAGGAGCATGGGAGCCTGTTCGCCCTTGCCGGCAGGTGGGGTGGCTACCTGGGACCCCAGCAGGGCAACTCCGTTTTTCTGCTGCTGGGCTTTCTGAAAAGCTTCTAAGTCCCGATACCTCTTGCAACTCTTCTGTTTTAAGGATTCTTGCTGAAGGTTTGATCCCACCCCCCCCACCCCCCCACCGGCTCCCACCTAGCTAGGAGCATGGGAGCCTGTTCGCCCTTGCCGGCAGGTGGGGTGGCTACCTGGGACCCCAGCAGGGCAACTCCGTTTTTCTGCTGCTGGGCTTTCTGAAAAGCTTCTAAGTCCCGATACCTCTTGCAACTCTTCTGTTTTAAGGATTCTTGCTGAAGGTTTGATCCCACCCCCCCCACCCCCCCACCCCCCAAGCCATTCACCTCTGATCACCGTTTAACTTTTTGTGACTTGTTTTAACTTGAGATTGGAAATGAATATATACATACATACAAACACACATTTATATAAATATATATAATTTTTTTTCTAAGAGCACATCTCTCTGGCACTTTCCATTGATAGGCTCAGTGTGGCTGTGCATTCTGACTGCTTGGCTAATGGGTATTTATTCACAGGACTGAGTTTCCAACACTCCCGAAGGTAAGTTCTGAGGCTTATTGATTTTACTGTCCAGATGGGGGGAAAAAAATCCCATCTTAGAAGCTTAAAATTGCATATTACTTTTTAAATGCAGAAATGCACATAGAAATGTTTTTAATACTAATTGCTGGAAACAGAGGTGTATGGATAAACATATAGGCACAGAATAGCTTGAGAGAAGCTATTTCCTGGGAGAATGGTTAAAATCAGTAGTTCCAAGGCTGCTTATGTAAAATACTTCCTATCTCCCTTCCTCCCATTATCCCTCCCTCCCTCTACCTCCCGCTCCTCTCTCCTCCCCTCTCCATCAGCTCTCTCTCTTTCTGACTCATGCTGGGTTTGAGGAAATAATTTTCTCTCTTTTCCTTTAGACAGATCTCTGAGTAACTGGGGACTTAACCTGCCTTGTCTACTGAACCTGGGGGAAGATCGAATGGAGATGAGTTGATTATATTCCATGAAGGCATAGCTCATCACCAGCCAGGGTTTCAACTACTTCACCTGTGGACTATTCTAAATTTTGCTTTCTTGGGGGAAAATACTGGGGTAAGAGGAGGTCGTTTCTAACAAGTTAGCATCCTTCTTTCTCCCTCCCTTTCAAGTTGATGTAAAGGATAAGGCTGTGACTCCTTTTGATTGCACCTTCAAATTAAAATAGGAGGAGGAGAACAAGAAAGGGACAATGGCTCTGAGTGGAAACTGTAGTCGTTATTATCCTCGAGAACAAGGGGCCACAGTTCCAAACTCCTTCCCTGAAGTCATGGAGCTGAATGTTGGGGGTCAAGTTTATTTCACTCGCCATTCTACATTAATAAGCATCCCTCATTCCCTCCTGTGGAAAATGTTTTCCCCAAAAAGAGACACAGCTAACGATCTAGCTAAGGACTCCAAGGGAAGGTTTTTCATTGACAGAGATGGATTCTTGTTCCGTTATATTCTGGACTATCTCAGGGATAGGCAGGTGGTCCTGCCTGATCACTTTCCAGAGAGAGGAAGACTGAAAAGGGAAGCTGAGTACTTCCAGCTCCCAGACCTGGTCAAACTCCTGACCCCCGATGAAATCAAGCAAAGCCCGGAGGAATTCTGCCATAGTGACTTTGAAGATGCCTCCCAAGGAAGTGACACGAGAATCTGCCTCGCTTCCTCACTGCTTCCTCTGCAGAGCAGCATGTGCCTGATCTTGAAAGAAGGCAGCATCTGGGACAGAATGTGTCTGAACACCAGCTACTGGAAAATGTCTCTCTGATGCCGAAAAACACCGGCATTATCGACAGAAAATGTCTAAAGACCAACGTGCCTCTGAAGTTGACTGCTGACCGCAAGTGGGGTTTCATTACTGTGGGTTACAGAGGGTCCTGCACCATGGGCAGAGAGGGGCAGGCAGATGCCAAGTTTCGGAGAGTTCCCCGGATTTTGGTTTGTGGAAGGATTTCCCTGGCAAAGGAGGTCTTTGGAGAAACTTTGAATGAGAGCAGAGACCCTGACCGAGCCCCAGAAAGATACACCTCCAGATTTTATCTCAAATTCAAGCATCTGGAAAGGGCTTTTGATATGTTGTCAGAGTGTGGATTCCACATGGTGGCCTGTAACTCCTCAGTGACAGCATCTTTCCTCAACCAATATACAGATGACAAGATCTGGTCAAGCTACACTGAATACGTCTTCTACCGTAAGTGCAAAAGGTTCTTTTTATTGTTCATGTGTATGGATTCCCTTTACAGATGTGTATGGTCTGCATGTTCTGTCAGTGTCTAAGGACTATTACTTTGGGATGATTATTTTTTAACTTGAGGTATAGCTAGAATATTAGAGTTTATAATTCAGCTCTTGTATGTTACCTAAGGCAACTTTATCTGTTTTTCCAGTGAAGTCACAGAATATTCAAAGGCCTCAAGATTACAAGATGCAAATGGTATTGGTATTATGTGGAATGAAGACAGACATATATATCTGTTTGCCAGATGTTGAATTGTAAAGTTATGGTGATGATTAGAACTTGGCTGTTGGTCCACGGAGGTTGGTAGACTCGGAGTGGGTGAAGTGCTGCTGTCTATTCTTTTATCTGAACTTTGGGATCTATTAAGCTAGTTGCTGAAGACTTGCTTTCATCAGGGGCTTTGAAAACACAAATGGATGTTATACTGAATGATGTGGTTTTGGCTAGATGGCAGTATACACTGACGAAAGACTCCCTTTCTTACCCTCCCCCAAGTCTAAAATTTTCTTTTATAGGCTTTATAAGTCTGCTATTTGATTCTTCAGTAATTTGTACTGAGACTTGAATTGCATTGCAAACTTAAGCTGAACTTCATTTAAGATCCACCTAGAAGGAGTTAGGTCCTTGAAAATTGTCAATCACATGCAAACATCTAGGCAGCTGAGGTGATAGAATTACTGACGTAAAAGGAAACCAGAGGGAAAAAGGAACGGAAACTATTATATTGAAGTTTTTGAACTTGGTTTCTTAGAGGTCAGTCCATTTGCCTAAATGACAACTTTCAATACAGATTGTTATGTGTTATGAAATAGCATTTTTTAAGATAAATTGTAAGCCATTGACCGCTGAAAGTCTAATGCTTGATTTAACTGCTGATATTCAACTGGCCTGGGAGTTGGGAAGTGAATTCCATAAGAAATATGTTTCCAGTGTTAACATTCGATTTCCTTCTTATTTAAAGGCAAACCCATACTTTTATTGGGTTAAAATGTCCAAATATATTTGAATATAAAAGAACAAATGAATTTCTTGGACTCAGTTTTGCCTACAGTTGTGTTTATTCCTTTGGAGGTGGTGCTGGGAACCTTGCTGAATTGCTGGTCAGTGGAAAGCCGAATTGTTCTGTACTGGGTTTTTAGAAGTCAAGTCCTATGTATGTGTAGAAAGGACAGCCTGTGGAGAAGCGTGAAATCAGTGATCAGGTCTGTAGCATACTAATGTGTAATAACAAGCATGATTTGGTCCAGTAATGCTATCTATGGCACTTACCTATAATCTATATCTTCCTCTATGCTGAAGCTCAGTTGCCAGATACCAAACATTGCTTTCTTCCTTCTGGTGAATTTTCCACTAGTGTAGAGATAAGACTCTAGCTTTCTAGCCTTCTGTAAAGGAATCTGATATTATCTGTGATTATGTAGATTATCTTCTCACTTCATGGAAAAATGCACCTTAGAGTTCAAATCTAGGTTTGTGATATTTATCTTGTTCTCTGATTTCTAATATTTGAAATGGCATCTTAAAAAGCTTCAGTCAAATAAAATCATAATAACTCTATCCCCCAAAAGACCACAATATATTTCTAATCACTTGTACTTCTAAATGAGACCCAGAACCTGATTTGTATTAACTAGTATCTCAGTGACATTTCTGTGTCAAAGACTGATTAAAGACTCATGCATCTAACACTGTGCCCTCTTTAGGATGCTTTGGACGGGCTCTGTGCTCCTGATGATGTAATTATTTCTTTCTTTGCTGGACTGCTGAGAGTTTGCTAAGGAACAGTTTGCTCTCCATCCCCTCTGGTCAGGCTAGCACAAACACACAGCAACTTTATATTGCACAGCATGTATGTTGCATATGATATATTTCCCCTTTGTGCCTAATACCCAGAGCTTACTGTTAACTCTTCCTCTGTATAAAGACCAATTAGACTGATAGCTGGCTTTCTAGGGTCCGTAACAGCTTCCATGAAGCTGGTTAGACATAATTATTTAATTAGAAGCTGCCAACTGTGCCTATATAAGCATTAATTCATCAAACTGTTGTGCTCTGATTAATAGACTGAAACCGTGGGAGGTGCTCTAAAGCTGACTATATGCAATCTTTGTCCAGCAAGAGCTAGCCCCACTGAGCCCCACAGAGAGGGACAGAGCCCCAGGCTACAGCACGGGTGTGGAGCTGAGAGAACAGAGAAAAGAAGCTGCAACCTGGCAGATTCCAAAGGGCAGCACGAATCCCAGGGAGTGCCCCTGCATCCTCAAAAAACCAGCCAACACACACACACACACACACACACACACACTCTTTACAGAGAAATTCAACTACTTCTTAGGTTAAATATTATATATAATAAATATATAAATGTATATATTTATATTAAATTAACTCCAAGCAGTCAGACTCTTCTAATAACCCAGGGATAATGCAGAATCACTTTGCCTGGATCCATATCATAGTAAAAAATAAACAATGAGAAATTAATACATTGTATATAGTAGTTGGCAGTGATGGGGAATGACCCCTTCTTCCCCTGTTTACCTGTCTTTTTCCCTCAAGTTTTCCACGGAAAAATTGGGAGACCAAAATTCCTTGTATTATTAAAAAGGCTAGATTCTTGCCTTATTTAATCTTCATGTAAATCTAGAATTGATGGTCAGCATCAGGTAGTTTTGACTATTTAGTTAATGTAGAATATGAACAATTAAAGTCAACAGGTGTTGCCCTGGCCATTGTGGTTAAGTTGGTTGAATGTCATCCCATGCACCAAAAGGTTGCTGATTTTTGATCACTGGTCAGGGCACATAACCAGGTTGCAGGTTCCACCTCCAGTCTCCCCAATCAGAACACATGCAGGAAGCAACTGGTAGATGTTTTTCCTTCACATTGATAAATGTTTTCTTCTCTCTCTCTCTCTCTCTCTCTCTCTCTCTCTCTGAAATCAATAAAAACATATTAAAAAATGCCCAGTTGGTGTGGCTCAGTGGTTGAACATCGACCTATTAACCAGGAGGTCTCGGTTCGATTCCTGGTCAGGGTACATGCATTTGTTGCTGGTTCCATCCCTAGTGGGAGGCATGCAGGAGACAGCTGATCAATGATTCTCTCTCATCATTGATGTTTCTATCTCTCTCTCCCTCTCCCTTCCTCTCTAAAGTCAATAAAAATATATTTTAAAAAGTTAACAGGTGTCTGTACTATGCGTTTAAGAGAATGAAAAGAAATGTGTTTGTCTGCATTGCTTACACACCAAAATGATATGCAAGATGCTATGGATTATGATTGATGTATCAGCAACCTAGAAAATGTGATATAAGAACATAGAAATGCTTATCCTAGGTCTGCCTTACAAAGTATTTTAGATAACTGCTTTGTTTTAATTTAAAACAATGAGAAAGTTCCATTTCCTCCTTACCCATCCAACTAGCTAAATCATTACCTCTCTTCTCTTCCAGTGTTGTATAGAAGGCAATATCATAAACATCAGAGAATGCCTTCTTGATTCACCTCTGAATGAAATGGGAGCTAAGTAATTTAGAACAGAGAAGTCCTGATTTTGAACCAGATACTCAATAACCATTCACACCACTTAGACACAAAAATTACAGGTGCATGGAAATAAATGAACCTCTTATTTAGAGCCATCTTCCAATCCCAGAGAGAGTGGGAAGATTGTTCCTGTTTGGAGAGAATTATGCACACTTCCTTAATCCTATTCATGAGTTGGTTACTTCAGACAAATGCCCGAAAGCACTCAGATTGAAAGGCATTTGCCTCTCATAAAGCCATGATAACATGACCACAATTAGGGAGTTTAATTCATAGTATGATTACTCTGAGTTCTGTGAATTACAGATAGAGACACTGATTCTTCACCTTTTTTAAAACAAATTGCTTCTTGTAGGTACATTTTAACCTTTCTTCTCTTTATTTTATTTCCTTAAATTTAAAAGGTTATTGTCACAAAAGTCTCTAAATTGCTTTACCTACACAGTAAATATGTTCAAGGCTATTGACTTAGATGGGGTGTTGGAGAAAAGTAGATCAGTTGTAATGATTTCTCTCTTAGAATTTAGCAGCATGGCCTTGTTTTGGGAAAGAATATATGGTTCTGGGTACTGTGAATTACCCAACACTGCCCTAGTGGTTAGACCATCACCCTGAGGACTGAAGGATTGAAGGTTCAATTCCAGTCAAGGGCACATGCTTTAGTTGCTGGCTTGATCCCTGGCCCCAATCTGGGCATATCTGGGGGGCAACCAATTGATGTGTCTCTCTCACATGGATGTTTCTCTCTCTCTGTCTCAACCCCTCCCTTCCACTCTCTCTAAAAATCAGTGGAAAAAGTATCCTCTGGTGAGGATTAACAACAAAAAGCTTCAATAAGTGAAATCATATAGTACTTGTCTTTTGTGTCTAGCTTATTTCACATAGCATAGTACCCTCTAGGTCAGTGATGGCGCACCTCTGACACGCGAACTGATTTTTTTTTTGGTTGATTTTTCATTGTTAAATGGCATTTAAATATATAAAATAAATATCAAAAATATAAATCTTTGTTTTCCTATGGTTGCAAATATCAAAAAATTTCTATATGTGACACGGCACCAGAGTTAAGTTAGGGTTTTTCAAAATGCTGACACGCCGAGCTCAAAAGGTTCGCCATCACTGCTCTAGGTCCATCCATGTTGTCACAAATGGTAAGATTTCATTGTTGTTGTTTTTTTATGTCCATGTAATATTCCATTGTATATATATCCCACATCTTTTTTATCCACTCACCTATTAATGGGCACTTAAGCTGCCTCCATATCTTGGCCATCTATATATATATAAAAAGCCAGTGTCCCTAACGAACACAAAAACCAAACTATAGATCACCATGAGGTGCATTTAGCATCTCTTGGTCCCTCACTCCCCCCACCTCCTTGCCCATGAGCAGCGGTTCCCAG